TCTGGATAGTTGGATCGAAGATTAATGGTGTGGAAGCTGGCCGTTTTGACAGAAAATGGGGCTGTCAGTATTGTGAGTTTTTCTCAAATAATTCTCCTTTAATCTTGTTGTAATCCGAGAATAAGTTGTTCTTGATGATATATATGTTGTATCCCTTAGTTGAATCTGAGGAAGAATGATTGTGAACCCATTATTTGTTGATAGTGGAAGTTTTTAGGTGGACTACAATCCCGTGGTTTTTCCCACATCGGGTTTTCCATGTTAAAATCTTGGTGTTAATTTTATTATTATTTGCATTATATTTGATCATTGTTTGATTCTATTTTATTGCATAAAAAGAAAAAGAATTGGGACTTGTGAATTATGAATTGTATTCCGCTGAATTGATCCGGCTAAATTAGTACGTGATTATTCCTAGTTTTCGCAACACACTTTAATGGAACGTCTTCATGTAAGTGGTGTCGCAGCCTTGCTTAAATCTGCACACCCAGATTGGAGTCCGGCAGCCATTAGATCTGCAATGATGATCACTGCCAATAGAGGAGCCCGCCAGCCATTAGATCTGCAATGATGATCACTGCCAATAGAGTGGGTTATGAATACCTAGTGGATACTCGAAATCTAATCAAGAGTGGTTCACGTATCTAAGATTTCGTACGTGATCGAGTTCGGATCGGTCATGGATAATAATTTTGAGTTGATATTTGAATATGGTTATTACCAAACCTGAGCAGGTGATAATAAATTTGCACATTTATCTAAAATTACGATATCTAAAGTTATTGTAATTTGAACAGACCACTAGCTCCATCACCTGGTCCACCATCACCACCTAGCTCCTTCCATTCTTCATGCACCTCTAGCTCCACCATTAAGCCGACCATCAGAACCACAACATATTCCTCCACCTCTACCACCTCCAAATTAACACCCACCAGCCCCTCCACTCAATCTATCTCAAGCCTCGCCAACAGCACCCTCACGAGCTCCAACATCAACAATTTCTCCAGAAGTAGCTCTAGCCCCATCACAAAAACCTTCACTAGCACCAACACTAAACCCGCAACCTCTTCCAGCACCACCTAAGTTAAAGGGGCCAAGTAAGTTTCTCTCAACCTCAAAAGAACCCTTTTCAGTTGCAAGAAGTTTCCTAGAAATGGTGAAGCAAACTACAAGATAACATTTTGGTGATTAAAACTCGATGGTCGCAAGAGGGTTTTATAAGGGGAATATGTTTGAGTACCTGACATATTGTTTCTCATCTTTTCATCTAAAAACCCTGTTGAGAGAATGATTACACTTAGCTACCCCTAATGAAAAGAAACCTTTACCTTGCCCCACTATCCTGACCAATCCAAGTGGTATTTACTTTTCATTCCTATTGACTTCTTCCATATTACTTTACCTTTTTATCTATTTTATTAATTTCTTGAAGTACAATTTACAACTAGGTCTGAGACTATAGTGCAGTGTTTATCATGGCTATTTTTATTATTTACATTAAAATATAATTTTGATTATTTGAAAGAAATTTCAGCAGGGAAAGACAAGACTACTATAGTTACTGAAATATCAAACAAATTGCTAGATATTACTTCTAATTACACTAAAACTAGATAAATAAGATCATAAAGATATATTCATGGATGTTGATATTAGCTGACAAAGATAATTCAGCCATGTTATATACTATCGAATAACAAGCCTTCTATCTATTTTTTATTTATAGAGAATTTGTGTGCTTAGTACTCAAGATTTCACCATGACTATAATTTTAGAGAGACACGAAAGCCTTTAAAATCACTTGTGTAGTTGAATAACAAGCAATGAAAACTGCCTTCACATTGTATGGTTCGGTGTAGTGATGATTCTTAATTTATCGACCCCAACTTTTGTATTTATCGTCGATTTCGTTTGTTCCCCTAGTAGACATGGAAAATATTCATGAACTTGTTTCTGGATCTCTTGCAAAAGGCGATATAGATGAGTAATGGCCACTGGCAAGCCCATATGCAGAGAAGATTGAGATTCTTTTTCCTATAGCAAGGACCAGCTGTTGATATGGAGTATGACAGATCGTCATAGAAATACTCCCTTTCCTGCCTCGCTATGGAAAAACCCTGGAAAAGATAATTCTGATGTCGATAAAGGTGTTGTCCTGAGCATGAGAGAGAATCATTATATTGAAGAGTGAGTCTGAGAAAGATGGTGTCCATCTTCCGGAATCCTAGTGTTTGGAGGCATGATAGCAGCGTGTGAGGGTTCCGAGGACTTGCTGGATTTTTCAGTTTCAAAGATACCTTCGGATACTTTCAATTTTTAAGATTTTCTTCATGAGAAGGATGGTGGATAGGATCTTAAATTATTTGCCATCGGGTATCTTAGTCTTGCATTGAAAGAGGTTGAACTGAACACACTCAAGAGTTTTGTGCTTTCCTTTTACGATGAAATAAGACTGCATAGGCCTTGAACACTTCGCAGCATAGTGATTTTGAGTGCTAAGATGGAGTCCAGTTCATGTTGGAAGCGGAACTGGTATAACATCAAAAAAGTTCAAAAATCAAAAACATTAAAATGATCGAGAAGAATATATATTTTTATTAAATATTTTTCTATGAGCTATATATATAATACTGAATTACAAAATTTTTTATAAGTATAAAATTTTAAACAATTAAAAGATTAAATTAATATAAAAATCTTAATTTAAATAAAAATTATATTTTACCGATTGTCAACTAATTTATTTAATTTAATTGATCGACTAGATTCTCTGTTCTTAAAAAATTTTAAAAAATAGAAATCAATTAATTTTTAGCAGCTATTTGTTAGGAAATGAACAAATGAACAAGTTTATAAATTTGATTTCTTATTACGAGAAATCATGAACAAGATTTTTCTAAAACCCCTTATTCGCTATTCCTCTGTTGCAAGAACTTGCATTCCCTCGTCTCCAAAATCGACATTGTCTCCCTTAGATCCTCATGTCAAAACGAGGGTGGTGGTGGTGGTGACGATGAAGATATTCTCTTGTGCTTGCAGTCTCATCACCACGTTACACCACCAGCATTCCCTGCCCTCATGAAGGTGTCTGCAAATCTCAAGTTTCTTGAAATCAAGCTCTGCTCTTTCCCTTCTTCCTC